ACTTCAACTCCCAGAATTCCCCAGCCAGAGTTGAAGTCCACACGTCCTAAAGCTGCCAAGGTTGAGAAACCCTGCTCTAGAAGCTCACATTTATTGATAAACCATTGTTTGGTATCACAAAGATAAGCACAGGGATCCTGAGCATCACATGTTCCCTCTCCCTAGGTAGCCTAAAAAGAAGCCTGGAATGTTTATTTTCCTTCTTGATTAACCTAGTTTGTTATGACTTATGAATTCATTGAATAACCACTAATTCAGCTTTCAACTGTCTACAAAACTTTCCCCTGGAACAAAACTTCAGCAAGATTAACCAATTTAGAGTTTTAACATGGTTACACCAGAAGGAAAAGAGGACTGTGTGAGCTTAAGGCCCCTGAAGCTCATTGTTACTGTATAGAAGTCTGGCTGGAGGGTGATCAGTTAGTCCCTTAAGGGGGAGGAAACTATTATTTCCCCCCCCCATCCATAGATCTCTCAGCTCTCTCAGAGAGGCTGAGGATGATTTTACCACCTCTGAGGAAATGAACTGAGTGAACATCTGCTGCCTCTACTACAGCTGTTGAAAATGGCCCAGGGAAGGGAAAGATATGCAGGAGGGGATGGAGGACAGACATGCCTCTAATGAGGCAGCTGCTTGAAAGATGAAGCTCTGAGAATGGTGGTTCCAACTTTCTGATAACTCTGTGATGCAGCCAGGAAGAATGAGGGTCTTCCTAAGCCTTCAGAGGACCTGACAATAATGAAAAATAAAATAAAAACATAAAAAGAGCAGAAAATCAAGATGAGCTGGGAGCTCGTGCAGAGACCTGCGTATCAGAGAGAGAAAGATTAAAGAACTTAGAGGTAGCTCTCTGGTGACCTAGTGGCTACAGAAGAAAATTCTTTGCTACTGTGGCTAAAGTGAGTGGAAGGAGCAACCCAACTAAAAATACCCACCAGGAAAAAAAAAGATGATAAAAGCCCTTTGCATACAACAGAACTGAATTGTCTATGCATTGTTTTGCCTGTTCCAGCACTTGGACACATTTGTTCTACTGCAGTCAAAATAGGATGGTACAGCAAACAAATTAATAGAGATTCACTATAATATAAAATAAAACTAGACTGTGAAAAAAATGTAGATAATTTAAATAAAAAAATTGTAACTTACGCCTTACCCTCGATGAGGCTGTGACAGCATAATTGTATGGAGGAACTGGAGAAAAGTCTATATTGTTCACTGCACCAAACTCCTTTATCTGAATGGGAGTCTGAAAAAAGGTAGCACAATGTTAAACATATTTAATTTTTAAGACAATGTCATTAGAAAAATATTTACAGAAGACCAAAGAGAAAAGTGACAAAATCTTTTTTAAGTTTAAAAAAACAAAACACTTTTATTCTCAGCATTGCAACACCATAAATTGTAACAGGGTACATGTACAGTGAAACCTCATTTTAACAGACCATTTGGGGGGAACGGATGTTAATTACTCCCAAATTCCATAAAATAAGAAAGTAGGTCCTCATGGTGATTTATTTCATTTGTGTAACATCTTTATTATGTAAATTTACATTACATAAATATAATTTGCATAATTGCTGTAGTTTTGTAAAATGTAGGTTAAATTACTGTAAATTCAACTGCCTCATCCAGATTACTCTGTATGCAGCCGACTTGTCTGGCACTTATGGAGAATGTTTGGATGGAATCTGATCCATTGAATCTAAAGTCAGCTAAACTGGGGATCGATTAAATCAAGGTTCACTCACGGATGGGAGAGTGCACAAGTCATATACGAATTTTGCATTTTTTTTCTTTTTTCAATTAAAAAAAAAAGCAAATCAGGTAAGATTTACAAAAAATTGACTATATCAGTTTCAATTCCTATAATTAACTATGTGTTATTACCTTATAATTCTTCCAGTACAAAGTATCCTTTGTAATTTTCTCTCCAAGCTTTGGAAATGTCTGAACTATTACAGGTTTGTAATTTGCCATTATTTCTTAACTGAAATTTCTTCCAGTAGCGGAAAATAATCTTCCACCTGTAAACTTCATAAGACTAGAATAATCGTCTAGATGCAACCTTTTAAAATAAAAAGCAAATAGGTTTGTTTAAAATGGAGAAACAGGTAAGGATACAATTCTCCCATCTTCTTTTATTTAAAATATAAGTATGTAGAACAAATATTAGAATTCAAATTACTGCTCAAGACTAACCTGCTTCACTCATCTTGACAAATGGGTGGCAAAATCCCATAATGATCTACAATGCATTTGTTACACTTCATCTAAAACAACTATTTTATTTCCCCTTTCCATTCAGTGTTTAATATCTAAAATGAAAAATCGGCCCAAAACCTTCTAAACCAACTGAAGATTTGTATGTCTCCTTGAAGCCAATAGTTACAGGCTCTGAACAGGTGTATGAGCAGAATTCTCAATCAATGTCAACTATCACACCCTTGGTAAACTACAAATGACAGCTGATAGCTGATTCAGAGATACATTCCCGACTTCATAAACCGTGTTTATGACAATAAAGGGTATGTTCAGTTCCGACCAGAAGATCCCGATTTGCCATTTTAAAATGAAAGAAACCAGATTGGTGACAGACAAAAGGGAGCACTTTTTCTTGCTGCAAAGTAGCTACTGCCTGAACTCAGTGATACCAGGTGTGCCAGTGGCGCTGCTTTCAGAATTCACTTGAAGGTTTTCCAGGACCATCTGCCTCCCTGTTAACAATGCAGGCAGGCAAGCAGGTGTTAATCTAATCTAACCTAACCTAATGTAATCCTCCTGTAGCATTTCCTGGAAGGGAGACGACATGATGGGGAAAGCAGCGGCTCTTCCTTGTCTGCCTGCCCGACACTAAAACGCTACAGTCCACCGACTGGGGAGAAGAAGAGGAGTTGGGGCTAAAAACGCAAGAGCTAAACCAGGAGAAGGAAACCATTCCGTTTCCAGAAGCGGGGGGCCGTTCGCCTCTCCAGGAGTCCCCCCATGGTTAGCTCGCGGTTACCTGGACCTCCGGGTCTTCTCACTCACGCTGCCTCCAAGGGAGCCGCCATCGCAGCGCAGAACGCTACGGCTCAGCGCCTACGTCATCACATCGCGCCTCATCCCGAACTTCGGCGCTGGCCCTGGTGAGGGCGGGTGCTTTTCTCATTCGCGGCGGCTCTCGCTTCCGCTTCCGCTTCCGCCTCCCATTTCATTCCGCCAGATGGGGGCAGAATAAGCTAGAGGGAAGTCACTTTGCGATTCCCGCCTACCCTCGACAGACCTTTGCCTCAGGGGTTCCGTTGCTCTAAATTTATGGTGGCCTTTTCTCCATTCTTCTTATTCCTATGCTTATACAAGAGGGTAGAAGAGGTTGTGGAGACTAGGCAGAGTGGCCTCTGTCTCGGGGCTGGCTGGGTGCCTGCAATCCTCCAGGGGACCACGAGAGGGTAGTAAGGAAACAGATAAATCTAGTATCTGCCGCCGTGTACTGCCCTCTCGTGGTCTTCTGGAGACTTGCAGCCCAGTTCAGGTAGCCGTAGCAACAGGGCCGCCCCTGCATTTCCGAGTCTTCCGTGTGCTTCAGCGGAAGTGACGTCATGGAACGGAATAACAACAGCCGCAGTTTGGTTGACAATGTGAGGAATGAATCGGGGCTACGCGACTGAAAGATGCCGAGGGGGAAGAGGAGGAACTCGGCGGCCTGTGGAAGTCAAGTGGGAGAGGTGACGCACAGCAGCCTCTGAGCCATAGTGGAAATCGCTAGTGCCGAAGATTTAGACCGGAGAGACCCGGGTTGGCTTAGATAGGGGTCTGCGAACGTGAGAAGAGCTGGGCTTGGGTCAGACCAAAAGCCTTTCGGGTCCAGCAGGTTGTTTCTTCTGCAGCTCGCTGGACGCTGGTTCTGGAGGTGAGGCATCCTTACGGAGGCGTCATTTGAAAATAAATAAAAATAGAGCCGCCCAGAGTCACCCATTGGGGGAGATGGGCGGCAT